AAGATCAACAAACTTACTTGAACTTGTTCATTTCGATATTTGTGAATTGAATGGCATGCTAACAAGAGGTGGTAATAGATACTTTTTTTTTTTTATACCCAGGTGTCCACCTTCGATGACTAATTCTATGGTCTACGCCTTGGCCCCTTAAGATGCAGACTAGGTAAACCACGAGGTATGCCCCAAACTGGTCAGGGTCTAAGAGCCCCCTCCACTGATATGTCAAAGTCGAGCGAGTCAACACATATTGCACATTGCCTTCCAGGAGAACTCCTACCTTCCAGGATAAATCCTACCTTTTAAGTGAGAGCCTGTCTTCCAAGAGCCCCACATAATAGATACTTTATTACTTTCATTGATGATTGCTCTAGGTGTATTTTTGTATATTTGTTAAAACATAAAGATAAAGTCTTTAGTATTTTAAAACATATAAAATTGAAGTTGAAAATCAATTAGGACTGAAACTAAAAACTTTAAGAAGCGATAGAGGTGGAGAATATTTCTCTAATGAATTCAATACACTTTATGAACAAAATGGAATAATACATCAATGTTTTGCACTACGAAAACCGGAACAAAATGGTCTAGCAGAAAGAAAAAATAGGACATTTTTAGAGATGATAAATGTCATGTTATTGAATTCTGAATTACCTTTTAATCTACAAGGTGAAGCCTTACTAAGTGCTTGTCATATAGTAAATAGGATTCCTCTAAAAAAGAATAAGATCTCCCCATATGAAATATGAAAATGTAGAAAACCAAATATTAATTATTTCAAGTATGGTGGTGTCTTGCTTATTGTAAGAACACGGATCTCAAGAGAACCAAATTAGGTCTTAAAGGTATCAAATGTGTTTTTGTTGGATATGCTCTAAATAACAAAGCCTATTAATTATTAAACCTTAAGTCATATGTTATAATAGAATTAAGTGGAATTTTTCGAAAATGTATTAGTAGCAAGAAAATCTCAAAATAATGAAGATATTCCGAATTCTAGAGAATCACAAGAAGAGATATCTACAAGAGATGTTGAATATAAACCTCGAAAAAGTAAGAAAACCAGAAAGAAAAAGGTCTAGGATTGGATGAAATAGATTCCCAACTTATTTCTTTCTACTTAGTAGAGGGAGATAGGAAGTACGTTGTAAA